ACAATACATTTTTGGAAAAAAAATATTACCAGCAATAAAAATCTTGTCGGCATTAAATAACCCATTGAGGTTGATATGCCGTAAAACAAAGCAAAGCAAAGCAATTCAAGCCAAAAAACAAAGTGTCATTGCTACCTGTCGTGTATTGAGGTAAGGAACTTATTTTCCTTTGCACCCAATGCAAACCACTCTGACTTGTTTGCTTCTATGTAATTGTTCGTAGTGATCGGAGAAATATCCTTTCAGTAATTTTTTCCACGTAATTATTCTTGGGTGGGGGGGAACTGATTGGTACCTCCTCCTTGATAATTGAATATTAATTGAATAGGGATGATTTGACCTTGTTCACATGGTTACGTAGTATGATGGGTCCTAGTGGTTAACTGGCAGAACAAATGAATATAGATGATCTGAACATTTGCCATAAAAAATAGCGATTTTTAATCCAATATTTGAAGTCTCACTAAAGAAAATGTGCTTCTAGACAAGGAATCGAACCTGAGTGAAGTCTGCTTTACCCGTTAGGTCACGGGAAGCCATCACAGCAAAGCAAACTTTATCTTTTTATGAAGTAAATATCTGCCGTTGGGACCTCAAATCTATTTTTCACCATTGATCTGAGAAAGTGTTTAACACATTTGAACTCTGGTTTATCATGGTCTCAGAAACAAACCCCAAACTTTCACGTACAATGCGCACCGAATATGGTTACCGAGCACCGACGTCAGCTACGGTAGCTCGCTAATCCCTGTTGCAGACGTCCGCCCGTACACCTCAGTGGTTTATACTGCAACAAGAACAACGGAAAAAAACCTGTCTGCTCAGACTTATTGACGTCATGTTAGAACTAATATAGACGACTTCCAAACAGATTCATCTACACAATTTCACGCACAAGGCTTGGGTCAACCTGTAGGTTCGATGTCACATACTGGAATCATTTTCCACAATGTGACAGAGAGAGTTTGGGACCCCCCTACACACACACACACACACACACACACACACATATATATATATATATATATTGAAATTGGAGTGGATTTGAACAGCGAAATTAGATCAGAACAATTTTGTTTACTGAGGGAAACCTGACCTCGCCCATTTAGAAATGGGTCATTAGAAAAGACAATTTAAAAAAAATGATCGAAATAACTTTTGTCAGTTAAAATTGAAATAAAGCTTACTCAGGCTATGAGAACTTTGAAACTCACATGGTTTTGGGTTGACAGCGACACTCATGATAATCACGTGCGGACCAAGGGTCGATTTGTGATCAGCCAGGGTTATCTCTATAAACGCGCACAGAAATCTGTTAACAGAGTGGTTGGCTGGTCTGCCGTCGAGTGCAGACGGAAGAGAGTGACGGGAGACCGCGATCGGTCGGCACATCGTCGTCATGTGCGTGAGCACCAGCAGGCGACCATTACGAGTCGCGGGGCTACAGGAGAGACAGAAGAGCCGGACGGAAGAGCTAGACGGAAGAGGCAAAGAGTGGTTGGCTGGTCTGCCGTCGAGTGCAGATGGAAGAGAGAGACGGGAGACCGCGATCGGTCGGCACATCAGACGATGTTGGAAATTAAAAGATGATTTATGAATAAAGACGAAAGGAAAACTTGTCGTAGCCGCCAGGTTTCGTAATGACTTGGTTTGGCGCTTATAAAAGATGACTATTTTGGTAAATAAAAAATGAATATAGTGAAACATTCACTGCTACCTTGCATTGTTGAATTATTTTTTTACGGCTTATCAACACATTAACGATTATCTAAAGCCTTCTAATGATAATCTTTTTTATTTAAACGTTCGAATATTGCATTAACACTCTTCTGTGAATAAAAATGATTTTCCTGATACAGGTCGTATTATTTAAGCCAGGGAGTGATATGGATTCAAATACTTTGCCAAGGGTATCTGTGCACAAGGGAATGCAACGGACTTGACTGGAATTCGAACTCGAGTCTCCGATTTCACATTTATTATGCATTATACCACAGGCGTATCTACTGCCTATTTGAATGTTTGAAAACTTACATCATGCTCTATTTTTTATAAGAGTTACCGCTAGAAAATACTATATAACAACATTTATTCTTTGCTGTGGTAAATAAAATTAAGTGTCGAATGATGCTAAAATGTGTTCTTGGCAAGGGGTTTGTTTATTATCTTTTCTTCTCCATTGTTTGGTGTGAAGTATTTTTGTGTCATGGTCGTTTTTTTTTCTAACCCCAAAATAACGTCTACGTCACTGTAACCATTCTTCTTAAAATAAAACAGTGAGTTAAAACACACGTGCGCGTCAAAGGCAATGCGCATTATGCCAGCCAAGGAAGGCAACAAAGTCACTAAGACGCAAGGGGTAAATGAGTGTCAAAGAATATGAGAAAAAGAAAAATATTATTAAAGAGAAAACAATAAAAGAAGAGGAACCAAGAAAACAGTAAATAACGATTGACATTGGATTTCAATTTTTGAAGATCAAAATTCATATTCTTTGACACTCAATGACTCCTTGCGTCTTAGTGGCTTTATTGCCCTAATTGGGATGAAATCATTAAAGAAAAAATATTTTCGGTTTTCTTCCTTGCCAGTGAAATTTGATCTTCAAGAATTTCAATGCAATGTCGAACGTTATCTTCTGTCTTCTTAATTCCTGTTCTTTTATTGTCCTCTCTCCTTAATAATAGTTTTTCTCATATTCTCTAACACTCAGTAACCCCTTTGCGTCCTAGTGGCTTTATTGCCTTTGATCTTCAAAATTGAAATGCAATGTCAATCGTTATCTTCTTAAATTCTGGTTCTTTTATTGTCCTTTCTCATTAATAGTCGTTTTTTCTCATATTCCCTAATACTCAGTAACCCTTTGCGTCCTAGTGGCTTTATTGCCTTTGATCTTCAAAAATTTCAATGCAATGTTGATGGTTATCTTCTGTCGTCTTAATTCTTGTCTTCTTAATTTCCGTTCTTTTATTGTCCTCTTTCCTAATAGTATATACGTCTTAGTGGCATTATCGCCTTGCTTGAGGTGAATTGATAAAAAAAATTATTGATGGGATTCAAATTATTGTAAGGATTCAAATCGCCAAGAAAGCAGAGAACTATAAAAAAAAAAAGGGAATGGAAAACGTTTACAAACGTTGAGAGAAAGGACAAAAACTGGTTTCATGACCGCCACAATTCACCTCAAGCAAAACGATTAGTGGCTTTATTGCCTTCCTTGGCTGACATACTGAGCATTGCCTTTGGCGCGCACGTGTGTGTTGTCCCACTGTTTTATTTTAAGAAGAATGGTTACAGTGACGTAGAAAGTTATTTTGGGGTTAGAAAAGAAAAAAAAAAGAAAGAAAAAAAATAACCATGACACAAAAATGCTTCACACGAAACAATGGAGAGAAAGAAAAAGAAAACAAATAAATCCATTGCCAAGGACACATTTTACCGTCTTGGGTAAAATAAATAAATACATATACAAGAAAAGTGGATGGACCAGCAGTGAAATATTTGAAGAAATTGCCACAGTAAATAGAAACAGAATAAAAAGATACAGGTCATTTGCTAAAAGGCATGAAACCATCCGGACTGTTTAGTTATTAAGGAAATATCAGAAAGAGAAGCGTGTAAGTTGGACAAAAAATATTTGAATCATTTGTCAAAAGAAATGTTGAGATAATTTGGTTAAAGGTTGGATCTTTTAGGGAAATCTTTAACCAACACGAATCAGTAAATAACTGGTCTACTGCTCCTGCTATATCGTGATAAAATCAATTTTATTCGTCCTGACCTAGCATTTCAGCTATAGTTACTTTCCCGCCGCCGTAACATAGCTTCTCTCTGCCTTTTCTATAAATACTTTCATGGTAATTGTTCTGTAAAACTTTCCGCTATGTGACATATGGGGACTAGTTAGGAATTTATAGAGATTCTGAGGTATTATGGTGAATGTAGCAAGAATGGCAAGTAAGAATTTGTTGTTTTGGTGCAAGTAATATTGTAGTTTGCTTGGGTCAGTGATTGTGGCTAGCTAAGTTTAACGATAAGACAGTTTGAAAACCAGCTTTTCTCCACCTCGCTTTTGGCCTTTGTTTCATATTTCTGTATTCCGTAGAATAATATCACTTCCGCTACGGTACCTTGACTTTATGAATTTAAGCGCATTAAGGTCTCATCATTTTACAGATGAAATGGTTCGATGCAAGCGTAAGTTCTATGCTAACAGTTTTTTCTATCACATTTCTTGGTTGCGGAACTTTGATCTTCAAAAATTTAAAAGCAATGTCAATCGTTATCTTCTGTCTTCTTAATTGAAGTTCTTTTATTGTCCTCTCTCCTTAATAGTAGTTTTTCTCATATTCACTAACACTCAGTAACAACCCTTTGGGTCCTAGTGGCTTTATTGCCTTTGATCTTCAAAAATTTAAATGCAATGTCAATCGTTATCTTCTGTCATCATAATTCTTGCTCTTTTATTGTTCTCTCTCCTTAGTAATAGTTTTTCTCACATTCTCTATCACTCAGTAACCCATTGCCTCCTAGTGGCTTTATTGCCTTTGATCTTCAAAAATTTAAATGCAATGTCAATCGTTATCTTCTGTCTTCTTAATTCTTGTTCTTTTATTGTTTTCTCTCTCCTTAATAACGTTTTCTTTTCATATATTTTTCGCACTCAGTAACACCTTGCATCTTGGTAACTTTATTGCTTTAATTGGGACGAAATGATTAAAGAAATATATTTTATGTTTTCTTGCTTCAACTTTCATCTTCAAAAATACTCTGTCTTAATTCCTGTTCTTTTATTGCCCTCTCTCCTAAACAATATAAGTGTCTTAGTAGCATTATGGCCTTGCTTGGGGTGAATTGATAAAATACTCGACCAAATACATTGATGGAATGACGTTAAGTATTCAAATATCCAAGAAAGCCGGAACTGTTTTAATGTGGTTGATTTTATTTATCAGTTTCCCAAAGGTAACTCTAATAGAAACACAGCATTATGTGAGGGTTCAAACATTCAATGTATCAGTGGATGCTTGAGTGATATAATGCAGATAGATAGATAGATAGATAGATAGATATGAATATGAACAGACTGAGATAGGTAGATATGAACAGACTGAGATAGGTAGATGGATCGACAGATAGATAGGGATAACCTGAGATAGATAGATAGATAGATAGATAGATAGATAGATAGATAGATAGATAGATAGATAGATAGATATGAAAAAGACACAGATAGATAAATCGATAGAAAGACTGATAGATAGTCAGATATAACCATAGATACATGAAAAAGGATTGAGCTAGCTACATTGGGAAATGAAAAGGGAGATAGATAGATAGATAGATATGAAAAAGACGCAGATAGATAAATCGATAGACAGACTGATAGTCAGATATATCGATAGATACATGAAAAAGGATTGAGCTAGCTAGATTGGAAAATGAAAAGATAGATAGATAGATAGATATGAAAAGGACTGGGATAGATAGATCGATAGATAAATAGATAGATCTCTTTTCAAGACTGCAGTATATTAGACGCTATATATGATTACTATAGAAAAAGGCACTTGCTCTCCATCCATCTGCCAACATCTTTAATGCTCACCATGTCACGTGACTGAAACATTCTAAAGGTACTGATGTTGCCGCTATAGAGACGTTTTTTTTCCATTGCTGAATCCCTCGCTCAAATCGTGGGCTTCCCCACTTGTTTCACAAGCCAAACCAAGCAACAGGCTTCTCTACGAGATTCATTTCTTACCTCACAAATTAGGCACCGTAAAACCTCGAAAAAAACTGGCCTCTTGTGATTACTGGCATCTCTTTAGATGAGTTAATGAAAAACTATCAAAAACATTGACGGGATTACGAAAGAATTGAAATATCCAAGAAATCCGTAACTGTTTTAATATGGTTGATTTTATTTATTAGTTTTCTAAAAGGTAACTCTAATATATAATATTAATAAATAATTATTTATTAATATATAACAATAATATATAGCATTATGTAAAAGTTCAAACATTGAAAGTATCAGTGGATGTGTGGGTGGTATAATGCATATATATATATATAAGTTATGAAGGACCTTGTAATCCGTATGGGTAATCCCAAGGAGGATGAAATCCTGAGAGCTCAATGTAAATCCAGAGCTAATATTTATGGAATTGGATTCAAATGGAAGAACATGGGTCATTCTAATGGTGTTTTAAAATTACTCTTTTTAATATTTAATATCACTTTCTCCTTTAATGTTTTATAATTAGAATTATGAGAGTGCAAATTCATCTTCTGGAGGTATTTTTATTTTAAATTGATAACTTAACTTAAATTTAAATATACCACTCTTTAACTATCAATATTAATAGTAAAATATTGACAAATTCTTTTTAATAATTAAGCATTTCAGAAGTCACCTAACGTTAAACTTTAACTATGAAATCAAACAAAAATTTAAATAAATTTCAAATATTAAAATATAGGTAATTATTTATAAACGTATGTATATATAATTTATGTATGAATATAGATGAACATTTGTGTATATTGTTACACGTGTGTCTATGTGTGTGTTTGCGCATGTAAATAAATGTATGTATATATGGGATTTGCATGAATATGTTTGTGAGATATATATAAGAAGAAAAAAAATCTTTAATATTACCCTCAAATATTATTCCATAATAAAACCTAAACCTTAAGTAAGGAAGTTTACCCATATAATAATAAAGAAAAATTGCATTCATAAATTAGATTAAAAGTAAAACTAATATAGATATTACCGTAACTATTTTTACAATGTTAAGGAAGTACGATTGGTCAGGTAAATAAACTGTTATAATTTAAAATATTTCTTTAATATGTTCTCTATAAATGTGTTAATAAAAATAGTAGTTAACTTATATTAAGCCCCTAAACTATTTGCTTAAAAAATTAATTATTTAAATTGATAGCAATCATCAAATTTTTTTAGACATCTAAATTTCTATCAACCATTGAAATCTATCCTTTACATAAATTGTTAAAACCCAATTACAGCCTCTTTCGATTTACTTCCATCTCCCCCTCTCTCATTGCTGTAACACTCATTTGTATATATCTGTATTACTCTCTTCAGTCTCATCTTTCTCTTTCATTTTTCCTTTTTCTTTTCTCCCTACTCCCCTCCCATTTCTATATATCATTTCCGTTAAGTTAACCATCTAAATAGTTCAAGGTCTGGTCACTCCTCCTACCCCAATATAAAGTACACTTGAGAGAGATATGAAATTAACCCCTCCCTATACTCTACCATGTCTCTTTAACTACAACTCTCACACCCCCTGTTAAATTACAAAAACTTACACTACCCATCAATTTTAATCTCATTTTTCGTTTCATTTCGTTGTTGGAAGTGTTATCTGATGATCAGGTGTCCCTTTAAAAGGACTCTGGTGAAATAAATTATTATTATGGTACCTTAAATTGGTCTGTTTTTCTTTTATATATATATATATGTGTGTGTGTGTGTGTGTGTGTGTGTGTGAGGATGGAATAATACTTAATAAATGAAAAATCAGAGATCCGATTTCGAATTCCAGTCGATTTCCTTACATTCACCTAAGCACAAATACCCTTGGGTTAAGTATGAAGCCATCTCATACCCTAAATATGGGTTAAATAACACGACTAGAAAATCAGTCATTCTCAAAAAACAGTTGATACATCAACACTCAGAATAGCGTTTAAAAATGGATTATAATTACAATCCAAGGTCTGTTTTGGCTTTAAATAACTCTTAAAGAGTTGATAATCCGTAAAAAATCATTCAAACATGCAAGGTGGCAGTGAATGTTTCAATATATTCATTTTTTATTTACCAAAATAAAGTAATCTTTTATAAGTACCAAAATAAGTCATCACGAAACCCGGTGACTTTCGCTTTTCTCTTTAGTCATAAGTCATCTTCTATAGGAATTTCTAACATCATCTGAAGAGTTGTATTTATGGTTTTGAAAACAGAAATTGTAATTGTGTAACGATTTTTCCTCATGTTTAATATCCCTAAAATGAATTTTATTTAGGTCTACTCCGTATTGGATACAGGTTTTAAATTAAATGTTAAACTTACATCCATGAAATCATACTCCATTTGTTCTCATTCTGGTATTTGATATATATTGTATATATATATATATATATATATATATATATAAATATTTAATGAAAAAAACAGACGTATTCCATAATGAATTTAATATCAATATTAAAAATTCGATCAACATTTTTTGAAAAAATTAACACACACACACACACACATATATATAAGTATTTTCTAGTAATATCAAACGTTAAAAATTTATCCGAGGACAAAAAGAAAAATTATTTATTATAACAGAATTATAAATTATTTAAAACAAAAAAAAAAATTGTTTCTGTCTTATGGTCGGGGGATTGTATAGATATAATTTCGATCAACAAGAACTGCGTTAGTCATATTCAACCCCGGTGTATAGACTTTGTTTAATTGGGAATTACACTTTTTCTTTTGACAGCCGTACAAATTGTTACAAATTTAGCCATTCAATGTTTCAACTTCCATAAACCTGAGATAAATCTGTTTTGAATTTCACTAAAAAATATTATCATTAAAAAGTTATTTATAAAATAACTGAGATATTAAAATTATCATATTAATTGGGGTTATATGAAACATGAATTGTGTATTGAAATAAAAAACGGCCAATGGATTTATAATACCCAATATATATATAATAATAATTTTATATATAATATATATATATATATATAATAATATTTATATAAAATAATATAATATATATATATATATATATATATTTAATATATATATATATATATATATATATATATATATATATATATATATTATAAAATATATATATATATATATATATATATATGATATGTGTATAATGTTATATATCTATATATATATATAATATTTATATATATATATACCTATATAAACCTTATATATATTCAATATATATATATTTATATATATAAATCAATATTATATATACTATATAAGATAAAATATATAAATGGATTTATATATATAATATATATTTCTATATATATATATATAAATGTATATATATAACTTATATATATATATATTATAAAATATATTTATATATATATATATATATATTTTTATATTTAAAACAGAACGTTTCTTTTAAAAATAATAAAAATCAAAAAAAAATATATTAAAAAATTTTAAAAATATCTTTTTGGGATTTAAATAAAAGAGAATTTTTTAAATAAATTTATTTAAAATTTAAAATAATAAAATAAAATAAATTATATATTTTTTTTTGGTTTGAGATTGTTTAAATCAAGTTATATTAAAAAAAACATACAAAGTTATATTTTCAAACCTTTTCCAAATATATTAAAAATATATAGACAAAAGATGCAAGATTCATATATTAAGAGAGTTTTAGAACAGGGGACAATTTAAAAGATAAAATTAATATAGTTTAAAAGATGGTCCCAATAGAAATTAGAATTAGTTATACATAAACATTTGAAGATTAGAGAATTAAAAAGTAACAAAGTAACATCTATATTATAGAAGTTTAAATCTGCCTCTATGTCGACATTTTAAAACCAATTCATTCCTTTTATTTAATAGATTACTTTGATTAAAGTATTTTATTTCTCTAATTTTGCCTTCTAAACACAGTTTAAATCTACCTTTGGAGTATGAGCGAAACCTATAATTTTCCAGTCTATCTGTGGTTTCAGACCTTTCTCCTTCAATTCCTAATTTTTTTTTTTTTGAAAGGGCTGTCTGGTATTTTAATTTAGGGTTGGTAAAAGAGTGCCTATGGGTTTAAATCTCTGTTTCCATTCCTCTGCTGAAATCCCAATGCAAACATTATAACTGATTCAATGGTTAGAATAAGCATTAATATATTGCCCCCTGATATAACTCTTTTACCACCCCAATGGCATTGTGAGACACATGCTCACTACTGTCGGCACTAGGATTAGTAGATTATCGTCCAATACACACACACACACACACACACACACACACACATAAAACCAACAGATTCACTTTCTGTCAATGCCAATTTTATTTGGAAAACATAGACATATATAATGAAATAAACTTTGTTGTAGTGAGTCCGAACTCTACAAATACATTATCTAGACTAATAATTTCATGCCACACTCAAGATAAACAAAGTTAATATGATTGTCTTGTTTTTTACGACTTATCAACCCTTTACATATTATTTAAAGGCAGAAAATATTTCCAGATTGTATGACTTTTTTGAAAGATAATGATTTACTGATACAAGTCTTACTAATTAACCCATAGCTGGGAGGAGAAGAGCTGGATTCATACCTAATCAGAATTTGATAAACAAATAAGAAATTATAAGTGGATATAAAGTGGGGGATCAATTCTACATAACGATCAATATATAAACTGATCCCTCACTTTGTGGCCACTGTAGTTTCTATACATTCATATTCCAGAGAATGTAAATAAATCTAAAAGACATGCCTGTGTAGCTATTCAATATTTCTTTGATTGATTGATTCCTTTTCTACAGCTTATCATCAACCAAGAAATTATAAGTGGATTTAAAGCGGGGGATCAATTCTGCTACAATCAGTACATAAACTGATCCCTCACTTTGTGACCACGGCAGTTTCTATACATTTCTATTCCAGAGAATGTAAAATCTAAAAGACATGCTTGTGTAGCTAATCAGTATTTCATTGATTTGTTTTTTACGACTTATCAACCTTTTGCAAGTTATTTAAAGCCAGAAAATATTTTTGGATTCTAAGAATATTTCTTGGAGATAATAATGATTTAGTGTAGTGGTGGCCAACCTTTTGATTCTATGCGTCAATATTTTGTACGATTAATTTAAATGCGCCACACAAACATTCGCTTTCTTTTACACCGTTGTGCATACTTGTTGTGTTTATGTTGTTCACTCTCTCTATTTCTGCACACTTCTTTGAGTCATTCCTTTTAGCCTGCTTACATTTGTTTTTAATTTTTTGTGTCCGATATTCTTTGCCATTCATTGGCATTGTTTATTATCACTTTTTTATCATCTCTAGATTGTCTTTTACTCGTTCCTTGTTCAGTTTTCTTTGGGATGATCTCGTTCGCCAATGTTCATTAGTTTTTCTTTCAGCATATTTCACTTTGATATGGTATTTTCGTTTATTTTGTATTTGCTTATAATTCTGTTTTTGAATGTTTTCAGCAACTGGGGGCTTTCAGGAATCTGTCATATTGCCTTTTAGGTGTGTTCTTTAGTTTCTGTAGTTTTACAGTCGGCACTTGGGTATGTTTTGCAGAGTAGAACTGCATTCCTGGATCTTTTGTTGGTAATTACTTTGTGTTTCTTTTCTTCCAGAAGTTGGGAACTACTTGATCGTTTGGTTTCCACTCCAGTCAGTTCTATACACTGGGCTATAATAAGTTTTTACTCCTCATTACAAAAATTTTGGCTTGCGTAATATTATCACTTTTTTTTCCAGACAATACCGTGTTAGTATCAAGCTACTCTAATCTATGAACGATAATTATTTTGCAATGAAAGTTCGCGGAAGTAAGAAAATTAGTGAATTTCTACAAGGCCAAATAATAGGTTGGCATCAAATGAATTGCTAGGTTTTTCCAGGTTAATCATCAAACGGCTAATAATATTGTCAAGAAATTTAATGAAGAAGCCATTGTTGTGTGGAACAACGTTTAAGAAGACCAAGCATCGTGTCTGAGCGAACAAAAAGGGCACTGAAGAGGGAAATCATCAGAAACAGTCGTCAGAGCGTGAAAGATATTGCCAACAGCATGGAAATGACGCCATATGCGGCGAGAAAGACTCTTAATGAGCGTAGCTATCAAAGAAGTGATGCAAGAAAGAAACGCTTGATTTCAGAGGTTAACAGGAACAGGCGGAAGGACTGGGCGAGAGAATTCGAGAGCAAAAAGATTATGAATTTTGGCAGTCTTTAATTTGGTCAGATGAAAGTAAATTCTGTCAATATTCTAATTCGAGATTGGTTTATGTTTGGAGAAATCAGAATGAGACTTGGAACATTGAATGTCTGCAGGCGACCGTGAAACATGGAGGGATTGGAATAATGGTGTGGGGCGCTGTCTGGTTTGGAGGGAAATCTGAGCTGATTCTTGTTGACGAGCGGTTGAATGGTCCAAAATACTGTCAAATATTAGAGAAAGGACTACTACCACTATTTGAAACCAATCAAATTGACAACAATGTCTGCCTTTTTCAAGAAGATGGAACGCCATATCATACAAGCAAAGTAGCAAATGCCTGGAAAGGAATCGAAAGGAATCAAGTCACTGCCATGGGTAGCCCAAAATGTGACAATGAATCAATAAGAGCAAGCATCGTTTGAGAAACGAAAAAGTGAGCCGAAGAGGACCATCAGAAACTTTCGTCAGAGTATCAACCAAAATCGCCAACACCAGTGGCAACCGCCATATGCGGTGAAAAGAAAAATATTGGCTAAAGGAACGTCAGTGACAAAAATTATGGATCAGACGATTGTTGGATAAAACGATTGATCGAAATCCAAATGAAAAATCGAATACAAGCACTGAGAATAGCAAATGGGGGACCTACTCTATACTATTTCTAAATACTGTTTATTTATGTTGAGTAGGGATTACGTAATTAAATTTTGAAATTGGATGTATTTTATTTTTCCTGGCTAAAAACTTTTCTTAGGTCACGGTATGCAATTAAGATGTTGGTTCATTTCTTTTTGGCTATTCATTTACTAAAATTGGAACAGAAATACATCTATCAGAATCCATTAACTTTATGAAATCCGTCAATAACGATGGCAACGACGCCGGCTCCGTCAAATGAGAATTGAAGAAATCACTGGTTGATGACATTAA